GTGGACGTGGGTGCCTTGCGCGGACCACAGCTGTGTACCGCATTACCTAATGTCAGTGATTTGCTTTTTTGGTCATTTTTGTAACTAATTGCCAAGTCTAGATTCCTACCTCTACCTCTGTCTCAATACTTGATGTCTAGTGTTACATACACGAGCTTACTTTGTAAGTGGAAAGCAGCCCAAGTATGCTGTCTGACGTGCAATCAACTAAAATCGATTATTAATTTAATGAATTGGTTTGACATTGATTTGGTGTACGTAATATTTTCAATTGTGTTAGTAATGTCAGTAACAATAAATATCCGTTATCAAAGAAAAATTGTAAAAATGGCTTGTAAACTTTGTGTTCAATATAATTTTCTAGTCAAATGTGTGGAAATAATGCACCAACGTTTAAATAAAGTTTTAATATTTTCTAATTATTAAGTAGAATGTTTTGAAGGGTGGTTTTTGGACTAACCCTAACCCATTAGTTTTTTTATTATTGTTGGATTTAATTATTTTATATACATTATTTAGTCATTTATTGCTGAATTCCATTTTCCCACGTGTCTTTCTTTTTACTTTTCCTTAATTTAATTTATACTTTTTACTTAATGTTCGTATAGTGTTTCTAACCTAACCCTTAGTGCATGAATGCCCATTTAGTCTTGAAATTAAATAATTTAAACCCTATTAAAGCTCTAGAGTGCAGATAGTTGTAGGTTTTAGTATGTAGATTATTTATAAAAAAAAATAGTTTATTACACAAATATTAGGCTCCAAAATCGAAATTAAAACGTTGATATATTTAATGATTGAAGAACAATAAAATGCATTTATGCGTTTACAAGATGAGCTCATTTGAGTTCTTGGCTTTTCAGTTAATAGCAATATTCACAATGATGCTCATTGATCACAGCAAATGTAATGTCACTTTAACACTCTAAACTATCCACTCAACAAATTGTAGATCTTCACACGAGTCGCACCAATTCCTCCACTTCTCATATCAGATGACCCGGTACCGTGACTGTACAGCCGTCTTGCGACATGACCCATGCTGCTGAATTCGCTCATCCCGTTGCATTACATAAAGAATTTATATAATAATCGTTATCATGACCCGGGTTTTATGGAAGAACCGTTCACGATCAGAACGAAAAGTGGATAAATCACGGTTTAAGGACGAACCACGATCGCCCCGGGTTGAGCACACGCCATCTTGGAACTCTGAGAAGAAAGAGGTAATGTCAAGGCCAGTGAAAGGGTTGGACCTTACAACAATTATGCGGAGACGAATTCTCAACTCGCCAACGCGTTGTGAGGTGCGCATTGATTGTGAAATGATGAGTTTGCAAAGAGGTATTAATAGTCTGGTGCAACCTGAGTACTCGTGGATGTCCTAGGATGTTGTGTAGAGTATAATCCTGCAGAACCGATCACTGGGATTTTGCTAAAGAGCTAGCTGATCTTAGGCAGTAACAATAATATTATAATTGATTCAACTCCAATACTTTTTTATCTTCGCCTTAATATTCTAAACCTTAAGTGTCAATATCATAGAAGGCAAATTAAATTAAATAGATTTACTTAAAGAAAAACACAGTTTGTAACAGACAGATATTCAGCAAATTCCATGGAACACAATTTTGTGGCGTGAAAGGTCTAGCTACCTAGGTTCGAATCCCGCATTCGTAGATGGCTTTTACCATCCATCAATGATGTTTTGATTTAGTTCTCTGGAACTCAAGATCAACATTATAGCCATAGACCCACAAGGATAAAAGAACGAATTATATCTAAAAACCTAAAACCCAAAGATAAAAAATATCTACAACGAATAAATGTCAAATAGTTTAAAATTACGTTACTTTAACCCATAAAATCATTGTAAAATATTAGACTGTGCAACGCACTGTAACTTAATTAACTAGTCCTGTACACTGCTTATTGCAATAAGGTAATTAACAACCATTCAGTAAAAATGGTTTAACATCTTAAACGAGCAGTAATAATCCATGGCCTTTCATTTACCTGAAAATCGATACCACAACAAGAAATTAAAAAAATCCATATATATAAATGAAAATCTTTAAAAGGAAATTATTTACAAAGATTATAAAAAAGGAAAATGCTTGAAAATTTTATAAAACTGTTTTAATGGAAACAACTCTATGAATAATCAAAGAATACAATTTACTCATCTTACTAATATTATAAATCTAAAAGTTTGTGAGTTTGTGTGTATGTTTGTGTGTATGTTTGTGTGTGTGTGTGTGTGTGTTGCTCAATCACGCATAAACTACTGGACGGATTGGGCTGAAATTTGGCATGATGATAGCCCACATTCCCGATTAACATTAAAGCATATTCTTATCTCAAAAACCCTTTCGGGCTCCGCCCCAGTGGCTCTGTAGTTTCCCATGTTAATCTTATGATTTTTCATATTTAAAAGGAATTAATGAATCTTAACAGCTGTTTCAATTTTAAACAAGTTGGTTCTGTTCTATGATGTTCAATATCATAAAAGTTACAAGGATTACCAACAGGGTGCAGCACTATTATTTTTTTTTATTTATGACAACAGCTAATTTCCAACCAAAAGGTGAGTGAGCGTAGCGAACGAACTTCAACCTGGAGGCGAGTTAGCGTAGCGAACGAGCTAACCTGAAGGCAAGTGAGCGCAGCGAACGAGCTCCAACCTAAAGGTGAGTGAGCGTAGCGAACGAACTTCAACCAGGACGTGAATGAGCCATGCGAATACTTATGAAGTTAAACGGGGCGAAGCCCGCGGGTACAGCTAGTAAAACATAATCCTTACTGTTGTGACAATAGAGGGTTCTTATATCTTCGGATTTTAAAATTAAATTCATCATTAATTTGATGTATAATAGAGGAGGAAAGATTATTCACTTAATTTTTTTTGCAAAATAACAGCCATAACGTTACGGTTCTATTTGTACTAAAGGGAGGCCTTTGTGAAAATTAAAGTACTACTTTACATCGTAAATTTATTAAAATTACGCTTCTTCTTATGAAATCGTAAAACTAATATAGTTTGCTAATCGTAAAACTATTATCTGGTTTCAAAGTGTTTTTCAAGCAATAACTACAATTGATATATTAAAAAACAATTTCATGCTTTACTACAACTAAATAAGTAAGATTTATATTTTATATGTTATTAAAGTATTTATATTTCCCCCAGACTCGTAACGTGAATTTGCATACAGTCAAATAATATGTAACAGAGCAGGTCCAATGGTGCCGATACTACAGTACAAGTCTAGTATTATTAATGTGGGATTTTCACATAGGTTTAGATTGATTACCACGTAACTCTTACAATATGAAATAAAACCAAGGAATTACCAAAACTACCTCAAGGTCGAGAGTGAAGCATGTGTGAACTGAATGTTGCATTAACGAGTCGAATGTATCATAAGCTCACGCATACTTTACTTCATAGGCATAAGCCGCATAAACAATGTTTATTTTAAGTAATAGTTAACGAAATCACAAAAAGATAATAAAGACTTAATATATTCATAATATTTATCCGTATTGGAAGAAGTAAAATGGACGAAATGCACCTATTTAACAAGAAAGTCAAAGATTAAAGTTAAAACTAGATTAAATGAAATTGAACTAGATTGAATGAAGTTTTAGAGTATTAGCCTAAGCTAATAATCCACAGAATAACATCAAAAGTTTTAATTATACAAACTAGTTTTATATTTTTTAATAAAAACTAATTTATTGTTTGTTACTAACGCTAATAAAAGTTTAGCAAAAAGGAAGATGATTTTAAAACAAAGTTTGAGATATTAATTATGTAATAGTGATTGAGGTGAATGAGTTTACTTTGATTAAGTACTAATTACAATATTTTTTCAACTATTATATTTATAATTGATCATGATCGTGATTGTTATATGTATAAAACTGTTTTCTTTAATAAGTACTAAACATAGCTTGTTATGATAGAATCAATATCTCAATGTAAAAAAAGGTGAATATTAATTGTTGTTTATGGTTTACCACTCAAGATTTATAGTATATTTTTTTTTTTATTTACTTTGCAAAGCTTAACAGTAGATTTGGTATCATAAGAATTTGCTGTAAAAAACGACAGAAATGGTTAATATATACGTTTTAAGCTATTTTGACAGAATCACCAACAATAGGAGGAAAAATGAATTTCGATTCCAGTAAGTATGTGCACGATTAAAGTAAAATTATAGTCGATGGAACTATCATACATCAAGCGATATGTTCTTATACAGTAGCAATATCCCCAAGATTCATAAAAACTAAAAGTTTTAAATATGTTAAGACAGACAAAATGAAATAAAAGATTTTTCAACAAATGTAAAAATAACATCTAAAAAAACATCTCATTCACGAAATATTTTTTGCTTTAATTAAATATTTAAATCCTGGGTTACCCGATATACCACTGCCACAAACGTTACATGCCAATAAATGAGTAAATTAATGAATGATTTATTCCATTAAATTTGCTACATGTTACAAATGTTTACAATTTTAACTATAACTATTTAATTTTACAAACATAAAGTAATCAAGAAAACAGAAAGAACAAATTAAGAAAGTTGTGAACTTAATGTTGAATGAAATTAAAGAAACGAACATATAATTGGTCTGTGGAATTAGCAGACATAAAAAAACTCATAGAAAGACTATAGCAACCCAACAAACGCACAGGCTGCCTTTTTAAACGACCTAAATTTATTAATATATAGGAAATTAAACAGAGATGGAAAAAAATGGTGAAAAAATAATTGCTTGTATCTTACTTGGGGGTGAATGATGAATCAATTGATATGAAATGAGTGATATATGTATAACGGTCAATTCTGTGGAAGCAAGTTTAACCATGCAGAGACCAACGTCTACCACCCTTCCTATCTACTCCCTGTGAGCCCCGGGGCCGTAGTTAGCGGGGGCGAGGGGTTATGAATATAGTGTATGTGCAAGACTGGAGGGGGAGGGGGGTCAGAGTATATAGTTCTGCAGGGACCTACCGTCTCTATCTCCATTCACCATGCACTCCCTGGTAAGTGTATAGGCTCATAGTTCACCAGTGAAATGTAGTTAACTACAGGTGTGATAGTTTATTATTAATAATTTAAAAAATAGGATTAGTATGTGGAAAAGTATACAACTTTAATTTCTCCTAACATTAGTCATAATCATTCAGATCTAAATAGTGACACGTCTTAAAAGTATTAACGCTTCTCTCCGAAATTATCAATAAATCTAATAATCTTTTCAAATAATACCGTGCTATAATATCCAAGTCCAAAAGTTATAAAAAGCACGACAAATAATTAATACATTTATAAATTTAAAAAAAATAATTCGTGATTAAACTCAATTGCTCGAATCGTGTTACCATAGCACGAGCTGTAATGAGCTGTAAACGTTGGAGGTACTGTAACGTATATCAATTGCAAAATTTTTATTATGATCATTATTTATTCAGTTTAATTTATCATAATTAAAACTGTTAGCTGGCTTTATGGCCATTCAAAAATAATAATTTTAAGTTGAAATCTCATTATCAATTAATCTTTTCTGGTTTTCAATAATGGAAACGAGTTTTAATTTTTTTTTTGATCGAAACGGTAATGACATTGTTACATTTGGACGTATTCTTGTTTTGCCATAACATTTTTGTTGTTTTAAAATATATATTTTTTCCTACTAATTTCAATGGATAATTTTGTTGACTAATATTTTTGTAATGCTGAAACTTAACTAATATATGTTTAATATTATTGTTTTAAAAATAAAACATCACAAATAGCTTAAACTAATTCTTCTTATCTTAAATGGAAAACGATTGTGTTTAATTTTGCTATTTATTATGAACTACTCATTTTATGTACTCCATTAATTCAGTGTATTTTTATTTATCTTATATTGATATAAAAAATACAAGTCAATAATATAAAATTGCATTACAATTTAGGCCGATTTTGATACAAATAACTATATGTTGGTACAAACAGTGGTACACGAGTGTAATACAAAATATGTGAGGGGTTTTTACAGCATTTTACATTTTGTTGATGATTAAAATCTCATAAAATTTTAATTCTACATTAGAGTATTTAACAATTATAGACTCAAGTTGTATTTTCTATTAAAAAGAGTTTGAAAAGTTCAACTTCTATTCTAGAGCTAAACCAAATTGTATGTTTGCTATTCCAAAATGTACAAACTGGTCGAATATTTTTTCGATAACGTGATCGTCTAAATAAAACTAAAGGTAGGTAGCCCGGATTATGCACCTAATAGTCCTTAGTCTTTGTGCTGTCAAGTTGTGATATGATTAAACTAAAGATTGGCGTTAGATACCAAGAATGCATAAATTAACTAGCCATCTCCAGAGTTGAAGGGTATCACAGACTTAACTGGGGGTTTTCTTAGGAGGTACCACTCATAAATATTGCCGCCTTCTAATTGTAGTCAGCTGTAGTAGTATACAATAACAAACGTTTTGAGGCAAAATAGTTAAATGGATCGGTTTATTTCTGGAGACAACTCGGCTATTCAGAATATAAAGTATCGTATTCTACACATAATAATTTCCTGTCCAGATCGTCTCAGTGGCTTGTCTAGCCGCCCTCGCAGCCGCCAAGCCTCAGTTTGGCCGCCCCTACGCCGCCCCACCCCCAGGTGCCGCCCCCGGTGGACCAGTCATCCCCATCGTCAGCAGCTTCCAGGACGGTCCCAACCCCGATGGATCCTACAAGTGGAGGTAGGCCTACACTCTCACTATAGTATGGCTTAGTTATCCTTTCTAACTTCCATTTACAAGATGAAATGTAATACAAGGTAAATATTAACACCAAAGCTAACAGGAAATTTAGATCACACAATTAAGAGTTCAGCAGGCTTTGTAGAAACAACATAAGTAAATTATTGCTGCATTGCAATTAAAAGCAAAATTTAGGCTTTATTTGTGTAAAAGAATTATTTGTCATATAACCAGCATAAAGCGTAAATTACCTAATACATATAAAACATTACATTAGGCATTGATTTCGTAGAGAGCCCATATACGTTGCTGACTTGCGCTGCTATTATTGAATTTTGACTATTGTTAAAAAAATCCCTAAATAAAATACACATAAGAAATACATCAACAGCAGTTTTAAGTGGTGAATAAATCAGAGTTGAGACAATTTGTAGACGTTACTTAACAAACTTAAAGAAAGTGTTTATAAGTTTCATATAATAACTAAAACTTATATGTTACGCTTATAACCCCCACCAAGACCAATTTAAGGCGAGTAGATCCTAAATCGTTGAGGAGACAATAATGATACAGTTAATCCGCTATTTGACATAAATGAAGAAGTTAAAAATAAGGATTCACATTAATTTCAAAATACCATATTTAGATGAAATTCTGAAAATAAATTATTAATAATACTAATAAGAATAAGCTAATAATTATCATTAAGGCTAGTCAATTAAAAGTTTTGTGTTTGAATATTACAACCAAATAAAATTAAAAATTAGGATACTTCATTTAAAAGTTCTCTATGGATAAAGCGTTTGTCAAATGATTTAAGAAAAGGTCTAACCCCTACACTCACTTTTTAATTTAGAACAATTTTCTATTTACCATAGTATAATGTGATATTTTACTAAACTAAAAAATTATCTTTTATGTGTTTAATGATATAGTTACTCGTGTTTACAACACAGTGTTTCGACTTGTATGTGAACTGACACAATATGAATAAGCGAGTTAAGTAATAATTGTTGCTCTTGCGCGATGTTCACACAGATGTAAAGGAAGCACTAATTATTCACTCATGGATTGGAGGTTAGCTATAATTATTTAAGTGATTACTTAATTGTTCTTGTTTATGAAAATATTAACTGATAGTTTTAGATGTGTAATTATGTACAACCTTCTGCTTTGCATGAGTATCAAATAATAAACTCGTGTATAGAACATTTTATAGGGATATAGATTTTATTTTAGCTCTGCAATATGATAATCAAAAAGTCGTTGATTATCAAAATAGTTGAATATTGACATTTTACATTTCAAAATATCCATAGGATACGCCCTACATATATTAAATTGAAATCCTTTAAAGACGTACATAAGACCCTCCTAATGCGATGTATTAGAGTGTGTTTTTCTTTATGGAGGCCATGTTTAAATCCGACACTAGGTCCATTTCAATTTATTTATTGAATACGTCATTGAAATATGTCATATAATGTATGGCTGGGTGGTGAGGCTGCTATCCAGGTTTAATGATTTTGATGAATAACGACTCTAACCAATAGAAATAAATGTGTTTTATAAGAGGTAAAGCTATGTTTGTAATTATTTAATTATGTTATGAAGATGAATCTGTTTTCAAATAACTCAAATACAACGAGACTCCTGGTAGTGAAAATCAAACCTTCTTCTATTTAACCTAGATACTGGTAGTGAAAATCAAACCTTCTTCTATTTAACCTAGACTATACAAAAGTTATAATTTTATTTACCTGATCAATAAAGTTAATAAATCAACTTAAGTTAAATCTGTGATTGCACTATTAATTTCAACTACACTTATGTTCCAGCTACGAGACCGGTAACGGCATCGCCGCCCAGGAGCAAGGAGTACAAAAGGCCGCCCCCGAGGGTCCCGGCACCGCCGCCCAGGGCAGCTACAGATTCACCGCCCCCGACGGCCAAGTGGTAGAGATCACATACATCGCCGACGAGAACGGATTCCAGCCCGTCGGCGCCGCCATCCCCACACCCCCGCCAATCCCCCCAGCAATCCTCAAGGCTTTGGAGTACAACGCCGCCCACCCTGAGCAACCCGCCGGACCCGCGCCGCCACCCTTCAGAGGTTGAGCCGCCCAGCCGCCCACCATGACTACCTAGGCGAGCCCCGCCTGTTGTATAGCTGTATAGACTACCGGTCCTGTGATATATTTATAAGAGGGAGTCACAGTTTGTGTTTTGTACTTTCTAAATAAACGGAAAACCCTAATGTAGTGTTTCACTTCCTTTCAGACTATGCACTTTATGTAAGGTGACTTGTGGTATGTCAGCGGCTCATTTTTATTTTGCTTACCAAATTACGTTCCAAGCACAGTTCCAAGGCAAGTTGAAGGCCAAGTAAGCCTCTTTAACAAAAAATCTCAAAACACCGTATTTACAATGAAAGGAGATTTGCAATTATTGTTATGAATATTCAGATGAAACAACTTACTATACGAACTTCATTTGAGCAAATATTCATTCAATCTCTCAAAACTCCCTAATATTTATGTATGTTTGTGTTCTGTGTTGTAATAAAATAACCTAGTGTAAGTTTGTTTGCATTGTTTCTTAAAAAACATTCTATTTCATAAGTTCAATTAAGAATTCAAGTTCTTTAAAATTATATTTATAATCGTATCAAGTGTGAAAACACAGTGATATAAATTAGGGTCCCATTTTAAACTGTCATTATTAACTAAAGCAGTTGTTAAATATGTTACCCAGTCCTGAAATTTAATAAATGTTAGTTATATAGTTATATAGTTAATTTAATTATAGTTTTAGTTTCTTAGCCCAATATCCACCATAGGAAAACTAAGAATGTTTCTAATACTATTATACGAAATCAGCAAAGGCTGATCATATTTGTCTACATAGCTATTGTATAAACGATTTCCAAAAGGTAATATTCATAATGTGATAATATGACTTTATATAATAGATATCTTATTTCTTAACTATTTATACTTCAAAATATTTTCCCTAGATATTTTTATGAAATATTTTCAATAATTTTTCCTTTGGTAATTTTTGTTCATACCCATATGAGTCTTGGTATATTCGCCGAAACTACCTGAATGATTTAACAAATTATCATCGTAGGAAAACGCGTCTTTCGAATGCTTTTGGGTATTTAAAGATTGTTTACTATTTTCAAATCAAACTCATTAGTTTTTTGGTAACCTAAAAAACTGTAAGATATCGAGAAGAACTTACTCAAATTGTAGTACTATTATTGGAGTACGGTAGGCAAGTTGGAGATTATTTAACCAAATTTATTGTTGGATTGATACTTTTGGTTTTCAACACTGATAAAAAATCGGTATACCCAAACGAGCCACATATTTACCAATGGTATTCAGGTCATCCACAGGCCGAAGGTTGGGTAACAGGCCAATAAGAGGTTTAATACACTGATGTATCTTCTTACAAATCGTGTCAGCCCAAAGTTCAATAGTGCAGACACAACACGCATACGGCCCCAACAGGTGACCCGTGGCTGGGGCACACCATTTGGCACTGTTCACTATACAGTATGGGGGCTTCAAGATATGAATTAGGGGCTATAAACATGAGTGACTCGTTCAAGGTCTGATCAAAGTACGTGAAAGCTAAATGCAATATGTCTATTTAAGATGAATATTTTAAACCTCTGAGGGGGTTTTATAAAGGTTAAAACTACTGCATGTAAAGTAAACTAACAAATGGGTCTACAGCCAGTGATTTTCCGTAAATGTCTAAGGTATATCCAAATGGGTCTACTGCTAAGGTCGACAAATTAAGGTCTACTCAAAAGAAAATCTGAAAAGCTTTTATGTTAGGTTGACAAGATAAACACAATGTAATATGTGTTTATAACCTAATGCAAGGTATGTGCAACTTTGATAAGTGCAATTTCCACCAAGCCAAAAAACTGCACAGCTTAACGTTCATAATAATTTCCAGGAGTTTAACTGAGATTTCCATTAGAGAAGTAGCTCGCTCTATCATACCACCATCGATCGAGTAAGTCACTTTAACAATCCAAAGCTAGTTTTTATTTGCGTTTGTTGAGGCCTTTAATTAAATCTTTGAGGGTTTTTATATTCTAGTTCAGTAGAGTATACACTTTTTACCTAGAAAGTATTCCGAACTTGGTGGAATTTTTACATGTTGTCTGGGGGTACTCTGGGGTGTATATCCTGAGTTTTCAACCTCTAACACCCTGTGCTAACTTTAGGAGGGGTCACAAACTTCAAAATGTTCGGTATTTTTTTGGTTTTTGGTTTATATGTTGTAAATTAAGCATAGTTTGTGTACCATTGTGCATTACAAAGTTGTAGAACATAAAATTTGCTTAATTTTGGTGGGTAAAACAAGTTTGTAGACTCAATATTAACTGGGATACTGCCGAACAAAGTCTGATTTATTTTTTTATGTAAGCAAATTATTGAAAACGGAAAGTTTCGGCCCTATATATAAAATGCAATATTGCAATATGCAATATGTAATATTGTTCATTACTATCTTTGCTATGTAGTTATTTCAAATACTTATTAATATTAACATCTTGGAATACCTATTAACCCCTTCATGCACTCAACACTTTCGGTGGATTTTCGGTGGTTGATCAAAATTGGTCTAGAAGTTTTCATTGAATCGCTGCAAATATACAGACACATCTTACATATTTAAAAATTAGATTTTCTTTACCGAAATCGATTGGATCTTCTACCCGACCGATTTTTACGACTGAGGTCTCAAATTGAAGGCATGCACACAAAGATTTCACATCAAGCATCGGCCAAAAAACATAATTCGATTCAAATCAAATACGTACTTCAATTTACGTATTTCACCAGTTATATTTATACAGTATAATCCTATATATTTTGGTGTAAGACCCTTCAGTGATAATAGTTTTCATTTAAGCTATTAGCTATTCAAATCGGACGAGTTCCAAGCAAACGCAAAGTGAACAAAGCTGTATTACTCAATCAAAAATCTTAAATTTTATAATTTCTTGGATATTATATTTATTTTAACGTTGCGGAGCAGCATGGGTCCTTTAGTATGATGTAAAAACAATTCGTACGAAAGAAATCCCAAAATATAAATACAAAAATTGACTTATTTTAACAATCAATATATTTCTCTATACAATAGCTGTGGAAAAGCTGAAATTGACATGGTTTCATTCAATATAGTATTCACAATATTTGAATGATTTAAAAAACTAGATTTAATTTAAACTTCTGGACCAATTTTGATTAAGTTTCCACCAAAAATGTTAGGTGAGTGCATGAAAGGTGATAGGTGGTGGGGGGGTTATTCTAGTTATAATAGGTATTCCAAGATGAATTATGAACATGATCCAAGATGAACATGGCAAAGAACAAATTTTACGTGTGTTATGATTATCACTTTCGAATATTCAAGATTTTTCTAAATACTATAGAGTTGATATGTTTATTTATATATAAAAGTAAATTCCTCTTTTTCCCATTCCTTTTTCCCCAAAAAGGTTATAACGTATTTAATTGATTAGTTTTGTTTTCATCGTATTTTAAAACTCATCAAAATAATGTAGGAATGTTAGAGAATTAATTAATAACTGGTTGATCCAAATATTTATCTGACACTTTTTATTATTGTCTGATTTTATAATAATCTCACCAACTAACAGTGGAAACTAGTTAATCATTTACACTTAAGCTTTGATTCATCTTTAGTAGTTGGAAAAAATCTCCAGTCCCATGTTCGAGGAGCTACGAAGTGTCTGTTGAAAATAAATTAGTTCATGAAACTAAGCCCCCGAGAAAAATTAGGTGTAGTGAAATTAATCTGTATCTATTATACAACGTTTAAGCGTTGTATCAAACGAAATTGATACAACGCTACTAAATTGGGCAACTCATCCGAAAACCTTAGTCTAACTTATTCAAAATGGGATATGCTTCAACATTTAAAGCCAATATTAACGCTACACATTATAAATAAAACGCGTCTACAATAATTTAAACATGATGTACTATGCATGACAGATTGAGAAATTTGTAACGAGATTGTGACAAATGGCTGTGAACACAAGTATAATGAGTAACAGCTTGTCACAATGTGAAACATTCACTACAAATCTCATGAGACTAGTTAAAATCTAGAGGTAATTACTAGTTTTGTGTGAAGTTTTAAGTCATGCAATCCCATAAGATTGGGCGTTTCTGAGTGATGACTGACTTGTCATATTCCTTTAGCACTTTTCTTAGAGTAACGCTCGGTTGTAGTTTGATTCCTACGTTTTATTAAGGTGTTAGTTTCGTGCTTTGTAAAAGGAGTGTTGTCGTAGAAGGTGTTAATGGAGTTCTTTAAGCTTTGAGCTTTAGTCAACATGAAAATACCGATTATGATTTTAGACAAAAAATTAATTGCATCCCTGAATTATTTAAAACAATTTTACCCGATGCAATTGGTTGCGTTATGGAGTAAATAAATATTTAAAACATATATTACAAAAAAATGGAATAAATCTATCATAGTGAATTTTTGTTATTTCACCATTGAGAACAAATGGAATTACTCCCAAAAGCTCCACTTGGAAATGTTGGGTGTAAGTGGTAATTAGCCTTAGGGAATATTTTTTTTCTCTAGGAAGAGCCCTAGGAGGTCTAGTACCTAGAGAGCTTGGGTCAGTGATAATTATTTACACCACTTCAGGCTAGAACTACGGGTTGCGGAATTATTATTAAAACTAAATCCATTGGTCATATGGCGGGATTTGACCCCGGAACCTCGGGCCCCTAAGTACCGCGCTCTACCACTAGACCAGCTGGCTCCCCAATCCCCTCGGTGATCGGGGTGACTTGAGATGGCCAGCTTCATGATCTACTTTTGAGTACAATTTCGAGCTAGCTGGTCTTTAGTGTTTTAGTTCATTAACTACCTTTTATATAATGTAGTGTTATTCTACAGTGTTAAATAGCCAACGTGTATTTCAAATGTATAATATCGATCATATATTGTTCTGGTTAAGCCAAAGTTTCGTTTAAATCTTGTATCCCAATCAGTTATTGAATAGGCTAGATTAACTTTGCAGACATTTTTTAGATTATTATGTCTTCTAAGAGTATGTGAAGGTAGTATGTTGACTAGGAAGTGAAGGAGGATGATTCGGACTCTTCACGTTCAAGGTGAACAGCTTTCAACATTATAATTATCCAAACAAGCAGGATGCAAAATACAGAGACTGTCTGATACTGTGATATTCGTGAAATCCTTGAATTCGAAATGTAGCAAATCTGTGAATTATAGTGGAACGACGCTCACAAAATTAGTCGATGAACACAATCACTATGGAAGACGATGTACTGATCTTGAAAGTGAATGTAATAGTAGAAACAAGTGTGTAAGTGGGTTCAGGAATAGTCGATTCGTGTACAACCATAAGTTATTTGACATTACACATTATGGTTTGACCATTTTATTTTAACTCTTATAGCACCCAAAAAATGTTACAGGGTCCCTTTATATTATAGTCCTTTAGCAATATCTAAATTGATGAGAAACTAGGTAAAACAAAAACATAATTTAAGGGAAATTAGGAATCCGTACAACGAATACTCACTTCAGTTGCTCTAAGGCTGCGGTTGTAACTGTTTGTAAAAATATTAGGTTCAGCAATGAAATAACTATAATTTACATTATTTTTTATCTTTAATACTAAAAATTCATTTAGCTTTCCCTAATATGCAACTTTGCATGGTAAACAATGAATAACAAATCAGTTTAAATACACAATTAGACATAGGCTATGCAATTGTAAGGTATATGGCATTTATCATTTAAAGATTTATTGTTTATCAACAATATTGTGTACAGTTATATGTAAGACTATGGCCTTAGAGTGTCGTTTATAAACTGCTACGTTGTTCTATTGATTAATATAACATTTGTCGACGGCATATTTGGAAAACTCCCCCATTTTCCGTGCACCTACAAATTTTTAAAAATTTCCTGGTCACATCTTTATTTAAGACCAAATTTAAAGTAGATGTAGGAACGTGCATACACACAAACATGTATTCACAAACAAAGTACACTAACTAACTTGTAAGTAAAAACTCATAATCTACCTTCCAACTAGTAAATATCCTTTCAACGTTTAATCAATTATCGTCAAACGTTCAACCCAAACCACCTTCATTCCAATCAATTACCACACCAAACCCAACCGAACAGCTTCCTCAATCACAGGCTGAACCTTGAGATTCCGGCCACCGCATGGTGCTCATCTAACATTCCAGCCCCGGTCATCTGTTTAACCTAACATCTGTTCAACAATGGAACAGCTGATTACATAACCTGATGGTCAAGGTCAATGTAACTCAAGACTGCACCCTGCACTAAATCAGTTGCCCAATATCCTGTGGGCGCTTTTATGTCCGACGTATATAACATAGGTTAGAGGATCGAACGATACTTCAAGATCGTCTGTCCTCCACCATGGTCTTAGGGAAGCGTGCCACTCTGGTAGGTATCTAGTTCTGTTCCTTTGTTTTATAAAATCAAAATCTAATGTTTTGTTTACTATGGTATATCTCCGTAGTCTGATGCTGGTCATTTTATAATGGACTACTGCAATTTCTTTTTTTAAACTATACTTTAAATCAGTTAATCTGTCAATATTTGATTTCATTCATAGACTACTAACAAAATTTTCGTTGTGCAGAATTTTAAAATTAGGTAATTACATAGGTGCCTAACGTAAAGAAATATGACATTAGGTTATACAGCAAAGAACAGTTTTACTGAACTCAACTTCAGTAGAAGGGATAATAATTCTTCAACTAATCACACCCACTGATTGTGATATTTTAATTTGTCAATTCGATTACTGACAAACATAAAAAATCTACTTATTTTAACCTTTCAACCATTTACTTAAACCTCTACCCATCAAAACATTCTTTGGTACGTTAGGGAGTTACGTGTTTATTTTTAGAGATTTGAACTGATTAGTGAAATTATATGAGTAAAATATCAATTAATTGTAAAACTGAATCGCGAATAACCTATAAATTTATACCACAGCTACATTGGTCTAATGAATATACGGAATGAATTTGAATAAATATCTTCTATATGAACCAAAGAAGTGACGACAAATATGGAGTACCTAAATTAAACCGGTGTAATATTTGTATGTTATCTTTGGCATTGACATTTCTCTCAATATCTGTCTAAATGTATAAACCACTATATGAATATGTAGAACCCGAATATGATATATATTTTTTTTTTGGGGGGGGGGAGATAAACAAATGCGTTTAGTTGTGGTTGTAAAAACAATTCGTTACTTAAGAAATGAAGAATATAAAAAAAAATAAATGTAAATTAACACCAGTTAGTACTTCTTACACGGATTTTTAAAATTAACATTTAATCAATTAATTGTTTCTCAAATTCAGAATAAACCGATAGAAAGACACGCCCGATTGCTGTTAGCTGCAATCCGCTGCACAGCGTTTTGGATGCTTTCACTTGTTTTGCTACTTGAGTAGTCTGGAGTAGCTTGTAGTTTTGCCACGAGTAAAATGATAATTACTGTTTTGGTTTCAAACTCTTAGTCATATAATTTATTTCTTACTTATATTTTGTTAAAAAGCTAAAATTACACCACATGTTTTTCTTGGTTCTTCTAAAATAATAAGTGTTTAGTTGCAAATCATTTTTAGATTTCATTTGAAATTATAATGCACATGAAACGGTGCACTTCTGTTATTTGCCAAAAATTACTTTAAGATGTGTTTTTAGTTTATCCTAAATATAAATGTAGGTTTAAAGTTGATGTGTTTGAGTGGTATAGAACACTTTTTTTGTGTTATACACAGATTTGATTATGAAACCATAATATTTGCAGTGAGTACGGGTATTTTTCACAGTGAAGGATTATAGTAAATATATTATTTTAAAATCTGTATGGTTTCATAAAAAAAAATAATTGTCATCGAAACCATATTATTATCATTATTATTTATTCATTTAGTACTCTTTCACTTCCTTATATTATCTGATGATTCTGAGGTATATAAATAAAGAATAACAAATGCATCACATTTAACGCACTCTTTGAACAGAACTAGCAATGGACGGGTTTTTAAACAGTCACATAACTAGCGTTACACTTTTCCTCATATCCTGTATATATATTGTGCCTAAAAAGAATTGCAATTTGTGAACTAATTTTCAATCTTGAGAATAAGAATCGCTCTAACTAAAAACTGGAGTTAGATTCAAAATTGTTGTATAACAAAATTGTAAATACACCTCTTGTTTGCCCATGAGGAAAATGTTTCTTTCCACTAAACGTATAATTATCACCACCAATTATTTTATGGAGGTTCCAAGTTAGAATTTGTTTGATTATTTATTTAAAAAAATAAAATGAGGCTAATAAAACAAATTTGCCCTTATAACTTAATTTTCGTCGTCAATTCCCCTTTTTAAGTTCAACATACAATACAAATAATTTAGTTTGTAGATTTCTCTATGAACATATCTCGAATGCACTCAACCTTTCCTCCCGAGTGCGCCTTTCCACGAAACAGTAATCACCCTTTCGCAATAGACGCAAACGCTTGAACTTCTGCAGTAAAGTTGCTTGCCGGTGTCGATTATGTTATCAACAAAGATGAATGATTTGGGAAGCGCGCGATGCGCCGACGGCGACCACAAATTGCTGAACACTTGGGCAAATGAGGCTCCGCGTAATTCTTACGTCACAATGCGGTGATTGGACCAGCCACCTCGTTAGCAGGGGTCAGTAGGGTAGTCGGCAAGGGTCCTTGTTAGTGTGCAAAAACGTTCTAGTTATAGAAACAAGTTCGTGTTGTCAATTTTGAGATTTGGGTAACTGTTGGTAAAAGTTAATTCGCAGTTCAGTTCTTTACAGGAATATATATATCAAAACAGTGTAAATTTAAAGGGACAAAGAACTGCATTGGTATTACTGAATAAACATTTGTAATACAATTTTATTTTACAAAATAGAACAATTCCAATATAGATCTAACATCCTTTAAATCAGAGTAAATAGTTGTAACTCAAACGTATAGACGGATGATAAAAATTAGACTTTGACCAATTTATACGTCTAAAAATTTACTTAGTTGACTTGTTGTAAGACAACATAATGATCCAATACAATACTTAGATAATTTAATATTTGGTAAGAAACTATTCTTAAAAAATAAAGATAGAGTTAAGCCCAGACGTATGAGAATGTTCTGTGACTTTTTTGCAATTTATCCACTGCACCAAGCTTATCACTCTTTATACTATTATAATGCGAAAAAACAGAGAAAGATTCACATATATATTTTTATGATTCTTAAGTGGTTTTATTAACTATTGGGAATGGACTATGCAAATTCTGGTAAGCTTATGTAAAAACCATAAATAATAATTAACACATTTATATTTATCTAGTTGTTCGGCCCATAGTGTGCTTATCATTTTAATAGCGTCTCATAATCTCATTAAATTATTAGAATTAAAAAACCATTGGAAATTTTTTAGTACTTGCAAGTACGTAATAGTACTGGTAAGTATAAATTTAATTTATTTTACTACGATTAAAGTTTTAGCAAGGGTTCGAATTATTTGTGATTTTTTGATATTTATTTAACTAGGCTGTACTTTTCTACATTACTGTACTCATTAAGTTTTGACATTTAATTTCAAATTCCTTGAAAAAGTTGGAGTAGTAATTGTTTTAGGAATATTAAACCGATGTTGTATTTGTATATTTGTCCAGTATTTGATTTTTAATCAGTTTGTTGCAGTCCTGTTCACGATTATCCTTGGATCAGTAGAAGGAGCTTACATTCCTATCTTGCAGCAGGATCAGGATATCAACCCTGCCGATGGATCTTACAGATACAGGTAATCAATCATAAAAATAGGGCTCTGAAGGGTAAAAAGACAACAAAATGAATGACTCAGTTAAGGATTATTGTATGCAAGTATTTTGAATGACTGAATAAAGCCTCAGAGTAAAGACTTAAAATCACTCTGAAATAAAACCCATACCATCTTCTAGATTTACACTTTTTTAATGTATTATTTGTTCAATTGTGTATTTATTAATCGTTACGCTTAGTCCTTTCATTGTTTGAGTATTCGCATGTATTGTATTGGTATTGTATTGCTTGTTACTAATAACTTATAAATTATAACATTAGCCGGGTTAAACTACCAAGGAGCTTAAAAGTATATTATTTTATAATATTTTCCAAAATCCTTTAAGTTTAAAATATATAAATAACATTGTTCACTAACAAAGCTTATAATGAATGTATTTGATCAAAGCCGCAATCTACTATATGGTCATGGTTAAATTTAGTTTTGAGCCTGATTGACAATCATATTTTTATTGACCGAGTCTCAACTAAAAATATTACTAAAACAAATTAAATTAAATACAAAAAAATACACAAATATGTGTGACACTATCACTTGTAAATGGATAACAACTAAGACTACTAGTAAAAACTCATGGACGCCATACCTTGTCTATGGGGTATTATCCGTCGTAATGAAATGAATTGTTCTAACATTAAAATATTATAGCTAGATTTTATGCAAATATGTCTGCACAAAGTATATCAAAGCCGCTAATCATTAACTTGTATGATTAACTTCATAATTAATAGGTTTGGCTCTTTATAGTCTCACAAAATTTAAAAGATGCATATCAATGTGAAAATTAAATAAATAACTATAAGATATAAGATATTTTTACTTCTTTTTCAATATCAGCCTTTTAATGATGTGCTAAATCTAGTGCTGGTTTTTGCACGTTGGTAAATGGCACATCTTTCACAATTAGTTATCAGAAAATGAATAATGTAAAAACGCCTTTACTGATCTATGAATCCATCGTAAAGTAAAACCTATTAGGTATTACAACTATGCAAATAGGAAAGTGATTAAAAGCCAAGTGAAAGGAACACGTGGTGTGTGAAGAAGAAGACTTCTGGGATGAAAAGTAATTAAATGTTGGTCAACAGGTTTAATATATCTTGCATCAGGTTCAAATTGATTTTAGAGTCAAACTACTCAAATGTGACAGGTAATTTAGCTGAAATTAACTAGATTTTTACTGAAATACATAGAAATCCTACTTTAATCGAACAATAACTGAATCGATTCAGTACTATAAAAACGTGTTTTTCGTATTATTAATTTGTAGACGAATGTTAACTTTTAAAACGCATAACTTTATTTCCAGTTATTCAGTGACTTACACAAGCAAGTTTTGAAAAGTACCATAGAAAAAGATTCTTTAGTTTTTATTTATGTTGCTACTAAATTGGTAATTTATCAATGAACTAAATCATTACCTGGAATTAGCACCTAGCATTGTCTTCAGGTAAACTATAGGGTACGTTAATACACAATTGAAAATTATCAATCAGTACTTCAAGTATAACCCTATTGTTTTTATAAAACATTAGTTTATTTTCTCCGATTACAATAAAAAAATATTTTCGCACAAATACAATAAAATACATTTCTTAAATAGTCATTCACAAAAATAATTTCAATTTAACATCGTGTGTACATACCTTTGTATGTAATGTTAAGCTTTGTACCATATTATGTATGATAATATGTATGATGTATACGTATAATTAAACTAAATATTTTGTATGATTGTCGTCAGCTATGGGACAGCCAACGGCATCATAGTGTCCGAGCAGGGACGAGTCAAATACCTCGGACCTGACAATGTAGCTCATACAGTGGATGGATCTTACTCATACCTCAATGACGATGGTACTCTCGTGCATGTCAAGTAAGTTATTTGGTTTATTTGTCAGTACTATAAGTTTAATCGTATAATTATAGTCAGTAAGCATGCATCCATCATAGTTTGAAGCTGGGGAGTAGCTTGTTTGCGGTTCTACCTATTTCTTCGGTACATGTACAGCTGATTGATGTGGTGATACAGCTGGGTAGATGGGTGGATGTAGGACTTGCCTGGTAATTAAAAGATCGCCTGGTTAATAGTGAGAAAACTAATACAATTTGTAACTATTTTTAACTGTAGACAGCTGTCTTGTTGTCGGGCTTGGATAAAAACACTTACCGATCTTAGTCACTAAGATTTCATCACATTTATTTAATAACACTCATCCTTCACTCGCCTTCCCCTTGAAGTTATTTTTTGTCCTGAAGTTTGTGTTGTAGTCGTATAAATACAATATTTCTTTCCTACTCAGTCAAACTGTACTATTTTTTCACTATATTATAAATGTTTATGTTTTAAACCTACTTTAAAAATCAAATACTATTGCAGTCGGTGTTGCTCATGTAATTACATTCAATATCGTTTAATAATTAAAAAAATATTAAAGTCTTTCGTTTCATGGTAGGCTTCTAAGGTGTCCGCAAATAGTTAGTACAATTAGTATGGTTAGTACAAATGGTTATTACATACAAGCTATTGTTAGTGCATAGCATATGGTTATGGTTAGTACATATCCTACATATCAGATAAAATTAAAACATGACTTTAATATACTTCTCAGCAAACTTCTTGATTGCAGTACGCGGAAATGCACATTCAAATTTATGTAGCTACCTTAAAAATATCTGTGGAGATGTAACCTCAAATTTTCAGGACATATTTTTCTCGTTTAAGCACTTTTTGTTGAGTGTCTTCAAGTCAAATATACTCTTTATAGTTTAGGTATAAGGGAACGGATCCTAAATAAATATTAGTAGTTGTACATATATTTTAGTTATCACATTTTGCTGCACTTGAATTTAATTATATATGTTTGGGATGTTAATTTTAATGACTATTCCTCATTCTATTTGCAGGTACGTGGCGGACGAACACGGGTACCGAGCTGTACCTAATGTGTTGTATCGGCCCCAGGCCGTCACCAGGGTAGCCAGTCCAGGGGGAGGAGTGTACTTCAACAACTACGACTCCCTTAAATATGCTCTTCGACTGTGAACAAACAACTAAATATCTTGGCTAGCGTTCTTAGCAGACACGTAAATACATGCTCATACATTTGTGGTGTGATTATTTCCCAAATTTCATTGTGCTTGTCTATCGATCTGAAGGTCGCTGGTTCGATCCTCGAAAATGTCAACGTTTTTTTCGAAACGGATTTAGGTCTAGATGTTCATCAAGAATGGTCTTCGCTTAAGAAACAGTCTTTATTAGGCAGAATACATCAGACAATTTCCTTATCCAACAATAATTGTTAATTCATATTAGAATTCAAATCCACCCAAACAATTATGATTAATGATCCTCCTCATCAACAATAGTTTTATATTGAATTAAATTTTTGTAGATTACATTTTTTAGTTTGTGAAATAAAATTTGTAATATACGTTTATATTTATGTCATGTGAAACCCTAGCAGTCAAGACGAACTGTGGTTCAGGAGTGGACCTGAGTCCAGTATTCTTAGAATTTACAGCAAGACTCGCAGTCTTTGTCAGTGAACTTCATTTAGTTTGTTATAATGTTTTTTCATTATGTTGATTTTACCTATGGATAAGAATTGCGTATAAAATCACTGCAGTTTTTATACTAAGAGCTAAATTTGGGACCAATACAATTTTGTTTTAGGTTTTTAATACAGTGCACTACCCCCTCTACCCACACAGGCACAATGTAATTGTATTCAAGTCATACGACATCCAGCCCTAATCAAATACATATAAAATGATATTATTATGATAATTATTTTTCTTACATAAAATAATAATCGGTCCTCTTATCAACAATAATATCGTGAGTGTGAAAGTTATTTTAAACAATGAGTCTGAAAATAAATTAACCTCGTAAAACATACTTAAAAATAATATAGCCATTTATTATCATTGATAATTATTGTAATTTGACTGTAAAAATGTAACATCTATTATTACATTATACCACTATTCGATAATTAATTTACAAAATAAATTTCTCTTTGATGAAAAAAATAAAGAATAAATATTTATTGTGTTACAGCTAAAAAAAAACTTGTTATGATGATGGAAATCATGAACTCGACTGAACGCAGCTTAGCTTTGAACTTAATTTTTTACTTTAAAAATGTTATATTTTTTATACAACGTTAATATTTTTTTATATCAAAATAAATATGAAGAGCTTTATTTCCCGTAAACTTGTATCAAAATCAATTAAATTTCGTTGCACCTTCGTAGATTGACTAATGTAAGAAGAATGCACGTTTGAAAATTTAACTAAATCATTTTTGTGGATCGCATAATACTCCTCCGAATCAGTTGGAAGTTATTCTATGAGAAAAGTTTTTTTATCAACGTTTTGTGTTATGTGAGAATTGCCGAGTATCAAGTTTAGCAGTGTTTATTAATAGTCTAAGGGACCTAATAAAACTCTTTACGAGAGCATAAACCAGTTGTGAGAGCGACTAATATCTTGTCAGGGTCTTCTTTCTTCTGACCACCCACACACAACTGATGTGGTGGGGTGGGGTGGGGGTAACTGTGAAGGAGATGTTTGTATATTTCAAGTGACGCAGTTACATGCTATAGTAGGACCGTATATACAAACAAACGAATTTAGCATTCACACTTACTTAATAACTAACTATGAATTAGAAATGTATGCATAACCCTTACTGCTTTTCTCGAAGTATTTGAACTTTAAGGTCTTTCTTTAGACTTTTAAGACTTTTGCAGAGGAATTTTGGAATACCACCATGACAAATATTTTCTTAGGTGGATAAAGAAATGGGAGATTACTTATGAAGCTTTTTATACATATATTTTGATTTTTTTTGTGAGGTGTCAAAGAATATTCAGGTGTGGTTATAACTTAAAACATTCATATGTCAAATTAAAATCTTTAGAACTAAAAATGAAGTAAATACTTAATTCGCACTTTCATTTCATAAAGGTTATAAAGGCAATATTGAATTTATATTGTGTAAGTAATGCATAGACATTACAATGTTCTTCAAATAATCTTGCGCTCCAATAATGAATTAGGGGGTAAGTAGCAACTAATTGATTTGTTGCTAATTGTTATTTGTGATGTTTTATTTGTTATATCTGTCAGCCTGACGAGAACATTGTGTTCTTTTATTTTAAACTGCGTATTACTGTATTTCTTTGTTTTTAACGTTGTCTATAGCAATGTAATGTTGACAAATTACAATGAATAGATTCTCATTTTTATTCTTAGGCACAGTTCCGTTTTCTTTTAAACGTGTCGATATACAGGGTGGCTGAAAAGTAACTTACACCCCCCTGTAACTTTTCAACCATTTGAGATATTTGAAATCGGTTTGCGGCAACCTTCTTAGATATGAGGGGCCACAATATTTATGGTCAATTTTGAAAATTTCGTCCTTAGGGGTAGCGGGGGTAGAGGGTAGCTCAAAATGTTCAAATGACAAGTATAGTCATGTTTGGTGTCATTTTACAGGTCTTGACGAAACATGAACATTGACATAAAGAAAACCAAAATCGGCTCACTAATAACAAAATGGCGCCCTAAAACGTTTCAAATCCAAATAACCATGAGGGTGGCAAAAAAGTTAAATTGCACCCTCTTTAACTTTTTAACTATTTGAGATTTTTGAAATCGGTTTGCGGCAACTTGTTTGGAAATTAAAGGCTACAATAATCATGGTCAGTTTTGAAAATTTTGCCCTTAGGGGTAGCGGGGGTAGTGGGTTTTCAAAATTTTCAAATAGCAAGTATAGTCGAGTTTGGTATCATTTTGTAGGTCTTGATGAAACATAACAATTAACATAAATAAAATAGAAATCGGACTATTAATAACAAAATGGCAGCGCAAAATTACTTTGAATAACCATTATCTTAATCATTTTTAGCTGCCATTTTGATATTAATAGTCCGATTCCTTTATGATAATTGTTATGTTTTGTCAAGACCTACAAAATGATACCAAACTCGACTATAGTTGCTGTTTGAAAATTCTGAGCTTCTCCCTACCCCCGCTACAACTAAGGGCAAAAATTTCCAAACTGACAATAATTATTGTAAACCTTCATTTTTAAAGAAGTTGCCGCAAACCGATTTCAAATATCTCTAATAGTTAAAAAGTTAAAGAGGGTGCAATTTAATTTTTTGGCCACCCTCATGCTAATTTGGATTTGAAACGTTTTAGGGCATTTCGTTATTAGTGAGCCGATTTTGGTTTTCTTTATGTCAATGTTCATGTTTCGTCAAGACCTGTAAAATGATACCAAACTCGACTATACTTGTCATTTGAAAATTTTGAGCTACCCTCTACCCCCGCTACCCCTAAGGGCAAAATTTTCTAAATTGACCATAATTATTGTAGCCCCTCATTTCTAAGAAGGTTGCCGCAAACCGATTTCAAATATCTCAAATGGTTGAAAAGTTAAGTGGGGGTGCAAGTTACTTTTCAGCCATCCTGTATATTTTTCGTTCATTTTGCAAACATATCCATTTGTGTTTTAAAATTAACTTCCAATTTTAAACGAACAAATGATAATTTATTTTGATATAATATGTCAAATCTGAACAAATTCCTCATATATTCCCTAAATTACTCTTAAATGTCAACTTAACAACCGAACACGTGTACTTTACATCCTTTGTTATAGTAACTGACATTACGTTACCTTGAATCACTACAGTATTTATTGCAATGTATTACCCATCATTAAACAATGACGAGTCCCGTTCTCATAACACGGAAAGTTATAGGTAACATCTGCTTTAAAGGTGAGTTGCTTAGAAAGTAGAGTCATAAGAAAATTACGGCTTGCCAGACTCTTCCAAGGCCTATGAGTGGACCCTGAATATTTCACAAGTTTCGCGAAGAAAAATTCTTTGGAGACGTTTTGACGAACCTGCAAATAAATGAATGATTTTCATTCACTGTGAAAATTACGTATATGAGTTTAACTGGAATTTGGAAGAAATGAAAGATAGAAATACTTGTAAAGCGTGTATAAGGAATATTTATTTCGGTTTTTAAATTTTACCTCAGCCCATGTTTGAAACTGTCTAACTAACGAATATGCGCCTTTTTATAAAATGACCTGGTTAAATAATCAACGTCTTAATACTGAAATGTTTGCTGTAAATTACTTAATTAACACTATTGATGAAAAGGTCATTGTAAGTAATTTTAGATGAAAACAGATAGTGATTAGATGAATTTGAAGTATAGATGTGTCCGAGAATACACATTTTAATGAAATGTGTCATGACGATACTTACCAAAATAATCCCTCCAAAAGTGGAGAGTGACCACTCATTGCTACCACTGAAAGCATCTACCCAAGTTCTAACAATTTGGCTAAGAAACATACCACAAGGACAATAACTAATAAGAAACGTGAATATGTACTTTTCAATATAACTGCAGTAACATACAACCAAAACATTTACAGAGCAAGTAAACTATAGCTCAACGAAGTTTTTCGCAAACACCCCAGTACAAATATGGTGACATTCCTCAGCTATTGTCTCGCGGCCAGCTGTTAGTGAGAATGATACATTGTACTACTGTTTGGGTTGTTGTGTCGTTGTGTCCCTGTTGGACGACACTTTAAATGCCAGAAGATGACCCAACTGGTTTGCGTTGCCTCCAATAACATAGCGAAGTAGCCTTGTGCAACATGTCATTTCTGATTTGCTTTGATCTGCGCACTCAGGCTTGTTTTAATTTTGCCAAACCAGGATCAAGTGTTGTCATAGGTTTTGATGTGTCATAGGTAAACAAATGTGGAAAGCGTAGTTTCTGTGAAACACAGTATTGTGCCGATACGTTTAGTCAGTTACATAGAGACAGTAAAAAAAAAATATCAATCATTTAAAAACTTATACTTTAAGATTTATACTCTTTTATTATATAATTAAAAGACTTAACATATACATTTTTTAAATATATTTTTGATAAGTAATTTACGTGTAGGTGCTACGATACGAGTACAAAAAATACGTCTTCTAAGACATTTCAGTGTG